ACACTAATTTAACTAACTAATTCGTAAAACTAAAAACTTGCCTTAACCAATTTCCTTCGCATTACTCAATTTCCCAAGCAAGGCTTTTGTCTCAAATATTTTATGGCTGCATCTAACGTCTCGTTAGACTGCCTACGTACCCTAAACAGGGATCAAGCCATTCGTAGTTCACATAGTACTTCAAGCATTCACAATAATTATATATGAAAGTAATATGCCTAATCAATTTAAAGGTGTCGATAGAACTCTCAATAATATGTACGATAAAAAAGGAAAAGATGCACTCACCTGGAGTCCACACTATGATTCTCTAGCGCACGTATCGAGACGTCCTGAATGATTGGTCCCTGTGACCAATTATCAAATCACATCTCAGAACTCTTATCTGTAGAATATGTAATTCACATAAAACACAACTCCAACGACATTCTAAAATAGTTTGAGACCCATTGACCACAAGTCAATCGTCGATCAAAGATCGACGGTAGGGTTTACAACCCTGTATAACCTGACCCGGAAGATCCGCATATCAGATTTCCAATCCGCAACTTCCAACGATCCACAATATGTTTCTAGAATAACATATTAAAATTTCAATACGATCCAACGGTCAGATCTCCGCCAATTGCCTAAAACAAGTGGCCGTGAACATTTATTTTACTAACTTACAAATCCAATTCAGGAAGATCCGTAAGTCGGATTCCCGATCCGTAAATTCCTATGATCTTTAAATATTACGTATTATAATATATCCAATTTTGGTGACGATCCAACGGTCGGATCATCGATTCACATTTTTATCAAGTAACGTATCATAACGAATTTAGGTTCCAACGATCAACCTACGTCATTCAAATGACAAAACTGAATTCAAAACATTCGACATAGCCTAAAAATAGCATTGGCGGCCCACTGGCCACGCGCCGCCGCGGGTGGCGGTCGGCCGCCCCGACTCGCCGGAAAATCCAACTATTTTCAAAAATTCTCAAACTTCACAGAAATGAAGATCTCAGTGAGTGGAGCAACTTTCATACCTGCCACGAAGTCCAAAAGTGGACGGAAGATGGTCAATTTTGCCCACGAAGCCGGCGGGTGCCTAAAACTTTCCGACGTCGATTCGTCGTCTACAGTGGTCCAACGGGGTCAAGGTTGGTTGGGTTTTGCTCCTGGGATGATGGGCTACAAAGCCCAAGTGGTGGCATCGGCCATTGCTTTTCCGATTTGCCGGAAAATCGAAAAGGGTGGCCGGAGCACCATTGATTTTCGTCAACTTTCGTGGCCTCAAACCGCCTCATACCATGGTTAATCAAGGTGGTTCTTGGGTGGGTTTTGTAGAGGGGAATGAGAGCTTCAAAATGGTGGTGGTGGCATCGAAAAAGTCCACCGGAGTTGGCCGGAATCGGCCTTGGAAGATGGCCTCGCGGTGGTGCGGGTATGGGTGCACGGGAAGCCTTTTTCCCTTTTTTTTTTTTTTTTTTTTTTTTCTTTTCTTTTCTTCTTCCTTTCTGATTGGCTGCAAGCTTCACTTTAAATGTTCTAATGGGTTCCTTGTCCCTTTAATTTAATTGGTCCACTAATCCCACAAGGTGGGAATTCAAATATTTAAATAACCAATTTCAAACGTCCATAAGTATACCGTTATAATTCGAACTCGCAAACGGTTTTCGCCTATACGTTCGTACCAATGAGTACTACGAGGATATGCTAAAAGAATAAGTCTCACATCTCACAAGTCAATGGTCAACAGAAGTCAAAGTCCTTGCCTCTAGGGCAATTTCGTAAACTCACGCTTTTAAAATAAATTAAAAATGAAAAATTTGGAACGGGTTGTCACAATATAAAATAATGACATGGAAATTAAATAAATAGAAAATTATTGAGGTGGCAATTGATCAAAGCACCTTAATCAAATCTTTAAAAAGGATGAATGTTTAATCTAACAACTATAGAAAAAATGTAGGGCATTCTAATTTTCCCATAAAACAAATATATGTAAAAAAACAAAAGAAATAAAAGGGGACTCAAAATCGAAGGTAAAAAGTACTTAATACTAAATCAAAGATCTGGTTTTAACATAAATAAAAAATATTTGGGAGCTCATGGCGCCCGTAATAATAAAAAAGCCTCTCGCATCCGCAGGAGCGCCCAATTACATTTTAGTTGATCTTTTTGGCAATGAATAATACATTCCTGCAAGTGACCCTTTACCATAGTGTGGAAAGGGGTTGAAATCTTGCATGATGGCGTGGGTTCAAACTCCATCGGTGGCAAATCTAACATCTAATCTAACAAAATATATCATTTGACAAAAAAGAAAAGAAAAGAGAAAAAAAAAAGAGCAATACGGTCTAGGGCAGGAACAATGAGAGTCTCCGCACGCACTTCATTTGCGATTTAGGGGGCATAATCTAATCCCCTTTTGAGAGAGTCTCTCTATTTCAATTACATTTTAAGTTTTTGCGTAAATAGTTGGACGAGGCCATCTCCTTTGGCAATGGGATTGGATTTATTTTTAGTAATCACTTAAGAAATATAAGAATATCAAAAGCAACACATTTTTAGGGTGCGTAGCGGCTGTGATGCAAAAATGCCTCTCGCATATGCGTGAGCGCGTGCGAAGATGCTAGTTTGAATGAAATCCACACCATCTCAATTTATTTGGGTTAAAGTTGGATTTGCAAAGCACTTGCAAGGTCTTATGAAATAAAATAAAAAACCAAACTAAACCCAAACTTAAAAACTGAATCAAAGTCAAACTAAACAAAAAAACCATAGAAAACCGAACTAAAGAGTAATTTCGGATTAGTTTTGGCAAAAAACCTAACAATTGAAACCTAACCCACCATAGCTTTGGGTCCGCTTCCCGATCATGATTTTCCTACCTCCAAAAGGAAAGGTTCTTCCCTTTTTGGCTGGTTGTGGGTAAGGAGGGATTCGAACCCCCGATACCATGGTTCGTAGCCCCATTAAGGGAAGCCCATATTGTCAAATAATCGCCGCTCAGCCAGAATAAAGAGGGATCACTAAGTGGCATAATACATGGCCAATCAAGTGGTGAGGGTATGTGGAGGGAGATGAGTAAGAGTATGCTAACTCTCCAAAATAACAAGCACTTGAAAAAGCACTCATTATGTGCTTCTTTCGGGAAACACTTTAAGTGTTTTTGAAACTCGAAAATATTTTCTCTAAAAGTGCTTTCAGACATTTTAAAAGCACTTCTAAACAATCCCTTCATATAACAAATGCAACACAAAACAAAGACATGCAAAGACATGTAAAAATGTGATTTTTAGTTAAAGTGAACAGTACCGAGAACTTTTCGTTAAAGTTCCCTATATTTTATGAATGTTTTGGTTCAATTCAGGATTCTTGAACGAAGGCATATGGGATCCCAAATCCCATACCAAAATTTTCAGGATCTGTTACCGAATGGTTGGAATTTTCAGTTCAAGACGTTTTTGGTTCGGTATCCGGACTTTTTTGGTTTGGTTCGCGAATTTCAGAATTTTTTTTCCACTCCAACATAACAATATGACAGAAATATGATTTTTCGAAGACTGAAAATAACCTAAATGCCCTTGTCTATAAATAGGTTATTTTCTCGAACATGGTCATTGCATATTTCTTTGAAAAACTCTCTCACCCTCAAAGAACCCTAACCCCCAAATGGGTTTTTGCGAAAGAGGCGATGGCAAGGTACTACAATATTCAACAAGCAACCCAATTTCTCAAATCCCATTTGCAAGGCGTTGGCGAAACCATGTAGGCTCCTAGGGGATGATTTTTTAATCTATGTCGATGATCTGATGCCTGGCTTGATTCAGTCTGCTCAGAATAAAAAAGCCAACCAAAGGTATAGCAATCACTTATCTGCGGCAAGGAGATCTAGTGTGTATCATTACCAAGATAGGACATCAAATTTTACTAATATCTTAAGATATCTGTGTTTTGACTATGGCCTCTAAATGTCCGGCAGTCTTGAGGTTCATGTCACAAAGGGAGAAAGTTTTGGCCTGTAAATTGCTATTCTACTTCACTAGCCAGTTTAAGGGAATGTTCTTGCCTTGGATCGAACAGGTTGGTTGTGATTAATTTATGTGGGTACTGGGAAAACGGGTTTGGAATCACATGCCTTTGTCTACCACTCTAAAACCCTAAAAAATTCAATCAAAATTGCCTCAAACCTGGAAATTGGGTTTTGCAATCACATGCCTTTGTCTTACCACCAACACAGAGAAATTGGGTTTTGAGTTTCGGAGTCAGATTTTGCCATGGTAGAGAGATTAGGGAAGATGGAGGGCGGCGATCTCAGAAATGAAGGAGAAGAACCCAGTGTACACGATATACACATGATATGCTCACATATTTGAGCTCGACATAAACACTTAGAGCTCACAACTCTCTCTTCGAAGTCAGAAAAAAGCCGTGAGTTTTTATAATTTATATGTGCGTGTTTTCGTCATTTTGTTTTTGTGCATAAAGTGCATAGCTTGTACATAACCAGTTTATTCTATTTGAGTCCAAAGATTAAGAAAATAGGTCATTTCTGGTAATTTCCCTAAGTTTTATCATGAAGTGAAACGAATCAAAATAATATGCAAAGTAGAATCGAGAGTTCCAACTAAAAAGGTAAAATTGTGCATGTTTTAATTTTCGAACCAAGTTAATTAAAACATTATGATCGATGTTACTTTCTCATACCAGCATCAATAAGCAATACGTTAAAACATGAATTCCATTTACCTAGTATTCAAACTATGGATGTAGCCAAATCGTCAATTATGAAGTGAGGATCGAATCGGTTACAATTTCATGATTATGTTACACCTTTGGGCAGAAACAAATCATTCACGAAACACGCCTACATGGCATAATCAAACCATAACATACATGGTTTCAACAACTTTAGCCAATGAAAATATGTTATAAATATTTTATGATTTTCTATATGCTAATTTATAGATGAAAATTTTTAGGCGGTGCTGCGGGGTTTAAGACCGTTTAAGATGATACTATTTTACATATATAATATATAATATGATTACAGACAGAGATGATAATTTTTACAACGCTATTTACATATATTACATGTTTTATGCATTATCATGCAACCATAATCAGATGAACCAAGCTTAAGATTGAACAAATGTAACCAGGAAAATAACATTGTGCAAAACTAATACGACCAACTTCAATCACACCGACAATCTACTCTTTAAGCAAGTTTTCGACAAACCTGCAATAGTAAAATGGATAAATCAATAGATTATAAGAGATGAATGAAATTTATAATTTATATATCATGAATGGATTAATGAAGAATCGATCGTAATGATAAATATAGTAGTCATACAGATTAAGAAGCCATTCATCATATAAGCTAGCCCTCATAAATTCATTTGCTTCAACTATTCTTCTAGCAATTGATAAAAAAAGCAAGCTGCCAGCTATGCTGTAGTTTGTGTAATTACTCCCTAATCATATGACCAATAATTCATTTAAAAAGAATCCCATTTTTTCTCAAAAGAAAAGAAAAACATAAAGGCAGTCCTAGTGACTATATATGCAAGCATGTTAGTTTCGATTCAGTTGTCATGTTTTAATTTATTCCAAGTTACTTTCGGAAGGGCTACTTCCTCATTAAGGTTGCCAAAAACCTTCTGGTGGCAAACTAAGGCAGCAATGCCAGAAGATGCATGCAGTAAAATTTTGGGTACTCACTACTCAGTTAGAAATATAATTTTAGATACTCACTGCTCAGAAATATAATACAACTCTCACAAATAAATGTTACACTTATTAACACCAAGCATGCATCACAAGTTAGAATTAATGTTTTTAAGGAAACCTCGACGACAGCATGAGAGAAATCTTATTGAATAAAAAGAAAGTACCTGAATTGGCCTTGAAGAGCCAAACATTTCATGGATAAAATAATGACTATGTCCGGCGTCCCTTTCCCTTTGTGCCTCTTGGCTGCCTCTTCCTGCTAAATTTCTCCACAAACCATTCATGCTTGTTGTTTGCCAAAGTGTTCCCAGAAATCACTCCAACTATTAGTCCACTAATGACTCCGGGCAGAACCACGTACCAATCAAACTCAAATCGAAATCCCGAATCTTCACCTTCCTCAAGGATTGATGGTGGTGGTAGCTTTGTGCTCTCAGAATCCTTGCATTTCTTTGACAAAGGCTTTCCACACAAACCCGGGTTTTCTTGGTATGAATCTTCTAGGAATGTATCAAACTGTTGGCCAAGTGGGATAGGCCCCCAAAGACGGTTGTGGGATACGTTGAAATATGCAAGAAAATTGAGTTGTACCAAATTGCTAGGGATCCTTCCTGAGAGCTGGTTTTCAGAGAGATCCAATGATTCAAGAGCTGCCAAGTTCCCTAGAGATGAGGGGATGAGACCCGTGAGAGAGTTGTTGGAAAGGCTTAGAAAATGAAGGCCTCTTAGATTCCCAATTATACCTGCCGGAATCTCACCTTCAAATCTATTACTTGAGAGATCAATGAGTCTCAAAAGATAAGGCGTCTCCAAATATTTCAACTCAACACCTTTAGCAACAATCGTGATGGTGTATGGATACTCATACCAGATTTTATGTGGGTTGCCGATTGAAGAGACTTTAAAATAAGTTTGATTGGCTTCACCAACAAATTTCATGAAATTCCAGTTCTCTAGGTAATTTGTGGGCAACATACCGGAAAAATCATTGTTAGATAGATCAATGATGCACAAGTTCGGGAACTCGTGTGTAGTTGCAGGCTTCCCAATTATGCCATGAAATCCATTATGCCGCAAAATGAGAGCCCTTAGTACTGGAAGTGCCCCTAACCAAGATGGGAAGCTGTCGCTGATGCGATTGTTTCCAAGATTGAGAAACTCTAACTGAGTGCAATTGGCCACTGTTCTTGGCAACTTTCCTTGCAACCGATTGAAACTTAAATCAACCATTTTCAAACTATTTTTGTTTGCACACAATTGAGGAATATTGCCATGGAAAGAATTGTTCCTTAGGTACAGTACTTCCAATGTACTGGAGTTCCCCAAACATTGCGGAAGCATGCCACTCAAGTTGTTGTTGGACAAGTCAAGAAGTTGTAGATAATCCAAGTAGCAAAACAAAGGTGATATTTCTCCACTATAATCATTGTTTGCGACATGATAAGCTGTGATTGATTGTGGCGGAACTGGCAGTGGTCCTTGTAACCTGTTGGACGCTATATGAAAAAACAACATATTTTTCCATGGAAGAATGAGTGGATTTTGGTCAAAACCGGTTAACAAGTTTCCAGAGAAGTCAACATTCAACAACGTATCTGTAGTTGCATTCCAGAACCATTTTGGTATTTGGCCATGAATGTTGTTATAAGAAAGGTGTAGGTCGTACAATTCCTTTTGATTACTTAAAAATTCAGGAAACTCTGTTAAGTTGCACGAAGACAGCCGCAGAATTTGGAACACAGGAAGAGTAGCACTCAAATTGGATTTGATCCGTAGAGATAACTTGTTGTTTGATAACCGAAGATCCTTTAACTTCTTGAGGTTGGAAAACTGATCAAACTCAACTGATCCCCTCAAGTTATTAAAGGAAAGATCTAGAACAGTTAACTGGGTCAAATTCATCGTAACCCAAGATGGGATTTGACCAGTTATTTCATTAGTGCCCAAATCTAGATATTCAAGGTTGGTCAGGTTAGACACAAAACATGGGAATTTTCCCCTTCGGTTGGTATACGAAAGGCCCAAGTGATAAAGTTTGGTTAGCTTTCCAAGCCAAGACAAGGATTCGGAAACTAGAGATTGGTTTGTTGTTGTGAAAGAACTTTTGCCAGGAAAATTCATGGAATCATAAAATGAAGAAATGTAAAGATACCTGAGCTTGGTAAGGTTCCTGAGTGAAGATGGAACATGGGGATAAAAGTTACAGAAATGGATGCCCAGTAGATTTAAGGAATGAAGGTTTCCGAGAGAGGAAGGCAGTTGACCGGAGAAGCTTGAATGCCCAACGTTTAACTTCTTCAAGGAATTGGTCCTGTTAAAGTTTGGAAAATAACCTGTGAGGTCTAAGTTACAGGACACACAAAGAACCTCTAAGTTAGGTAGGTGAAAAAGGCCAACAGGGAATTCCCCGTACAAACCAGAGTCTTCAAGTTCGAGAGATGTGAGAGAAGATGCATTGACCAAGATATCAGGCACAGTGGAGTATATGTCTACCCAGCTAAGGTGAAGCTGTTTTATGTTGGTCAAGTTTTGGACTAGGCTTCTCAGGTTGGCCTTTGTCAGTTTTAAATGGAAATGATTTGCACCACCACGTTCATGTTTTTCATTGTAAGACAGATCCAGGGTAGACAGTTTGGACAACTTGGAAATTTCAGATGGAATTTGGCCAAAAAAAGACGACCGAGAAAGGTTGAGATATGTTAGGCTCGTAAGTTCATGGCCTAATCTTGACGGTATTGGAGAGAAGTTGAAGTGATTATCTGATAGGTCGAGCCTCTGCAAGTGAACAAGTCGGAAGAGGCTGCTGTTGGAAGTGATAGAACCATATAGACAGCTGCTGGCGAGGTCAAGGCCAATGACATGGCCAGACTCCTCATAGCACTCAACACCATCCCACGAACAACAGTTACTCCGATTCCGATCAACTTGATCTTCTTGCGACCAAGATGCAACCTTCGGATAAGCAGATGGATCATTAGAAGCAGACATATTGATCGTAAGGCTTTCCTTGAATTGAAACAAGGCAGAGCACTCAGCGAAATGCGAAAGTGTTTGCACAAACGAAACACAGTGAGTAGCATTGAGTAAAAGCAAATTAATACAGCCTATAAAAAACAAGCTAAACCATGAAGACCCCAATCCCGTTCCCATGTCTGTTTATCTTTTCCTGATTAAACAAAACTCACACAATGAAGGGAGGAACTGAATGTTGAAATCTAATGTTCAAGTTGTATGCGTGAATGATGAAGCCATAGATGCTTCAAAGAAAACATGCGTGTGAAAGCCTAGAAAACTAATCGTGTATTAAGGAGGATGCCAAATCATTACTAGAAATAGTTTTTATTTTATTTTTTATAACTGTATGTAGTTAGCTAGGGGTGGGTTCGGTTCCGTTCGGTTCGGTTTTTTACGAAAACCGAATCGAAATTACTGTTCGGTTCGGTTCGGTTCGGTTTTCTATCGGTTTGTGTTCGATTCGGTTTTCTCGGTTCGGTTTCGGCCCGGTTCGGTTTTTTTTTTTTTTTTTGCTTTTTTCCCCAAGTAGCTTAAAAAAAGTATATGAAAACAACTTGCATCCATTTTGTAATAAGTTCTATTTCAACATAATCGTCAAGACTCAAAATAAGCATTCCAAATTTCTAATCTAATCATAGTCTCAACTCAAAGACAATGAAAATAAACATTCAATTCAAAGTTTAATTATAATCAAGTGTTCCAAAGTCCAAAGTTAAATAAACATCAAAGTTTAAATCTTTCAAAAGTCCAAACTTAAAATAAACATCAAAGTTCAAGTATTCCACATCTAAAAGACTAAAATAAACATTCCAAATTTCAACTTTCAAGTGCCCCACAATGAGAGTGATCCACGTACTTTTTCAACGACAATTTGCTTGCTAACGCTTGGGTGGCGGGCAACATATTACCTTTTTTTGAACTTCTACTTGCCATTACTACATAGAAATAATAAAAGAAAAGATACTAATTAAAATGTTATTTAAAATAATCTAACAAAATCAAATGTAATAAAGGTTTAAGGGTTTTGTTAAAAAGATTAAAAAATTAAAAATAACCTAACAAATCCTGGAGGCATGAGGGTTCGAACCCATGCCTCCAGCTTGTAAAGTTTCATTGAAACCAACTTGGCAACAAGTTCTGTTTTGTTATGATTGTATAACTAAACTATTTACAAATATTCAAAAAAATTATATATATATATATATATATATCAGTTCGGTTCAGTTCGGTTCAGTTTTTTTGCGGTTCGGTTTTTTTCGGTCTCGGTCCGATTCGGTTGTCGGTTTTTTTCGATTTTCGGTTTTTTGAACCCACCCCTATAGTTAGCAGTGGTACTGTATGAGTTGGAAAAGCCTGCACTTTAATAAAGCTCATGGGAGAAGACAATAATTGTGTGAGATGGTCAAGTTTCCACACCACACAAATAAGTTGAGTGGTTAAAGAAGACGATAATTGTGTGATAGTCAAGCTTCCACACCGCACAAAGAAGGTGAGTGGTTAAAGAAGACAACAATTGTGTGATAGTCAAGCTTCCACACCGCACAAGCTTCCACACCGCACAAAGAAGTTGAGTGGTTAAAGAAGACAACAATTGTGTGATAGTCAAGCTTCCACACCGCACAAAGAAGTTGAGTGGTAGTTTTCACAATAAAAAAATAAAAAACAAAAGGAAGAAGAAGAAGAAGTTGAGTGGTTAGAGATATTTACGACCATATGCTCTCTAGATACATGAGACTGTGAGCTGAAAAGGAAAGGTGTGCAAGCCAAGAGCTTGTCACCGAGAGCGAGGGCAAGCAGAAAATAGAGCTTGTCCCTTCGTTAATTAACACCGAGAGAGAATAGCTTTTCCATTTTCTTAGCCAAGAGCAAGAGAGAGTTATCCCACAAATATGTCGGGGAAAAAAAAAAGTTGAGGATCTTCCCACGAGGAAGCCAACCTCTGAGTTCTTATAGAAATAGAAATGGATATAACACAACTCATCATTCCTTTTTCCAATACGCTGAGGGGTGACTTGTATAGATAAAGTGTAAGAGCATAGGAAATAAAGAGTAAATTGTAGCAATAATCATTTAACTTTAACTTAATTAAAGCAATGATTCTTTAACTAAAAATCATTTACCATTGGTCCCTCAACTCATCAAAACGTTTAGCTATGGTGCCTCAACTAAAAATTCATTATCATTGATCCCTCAACTTTAATTCAACTAGAAAAATGATCTCTCAACTTTAATCCAATTGAATCACTAGTCCCTCAAGTTTAATCTAACTAGAGAAATGATCTCTCAACTTGAATCCAATTGAATCACTAGTCCCTCTCAAGTTTAATCCAATTGTAGCAACGGTCCTTCCAACATAACTCATTTTGACAAAATTCTGACGAAGTTGACGAAAATAACTATAGCTACACGTTTTGATGAGTTGATGGACCTCAATTGTAACAATGGTCCTTCCAACATAACTTATTTTGACAAAATTTTAACTAAGTTGACGAAAAAAAAAAAATCATAACCATATTTTGATGAGTTAAAGAATCAATGGTAATGAATTTTTAGTTAAGAAACTATTGCTCTAATTTAATTAAAATTGAGTGACTATTGCTACAATTTACCCGAAGATAACACCAAAATCTTGCTTTGAGTCGTTGTTGGTACTTCATAATTAGTATCCAGACTCTTTTTATGACTTTGAAAAGCAAAGTTAGTAGTTGTCGGGGTTTGATTAGCGCTGTTTAGATAAGACTTTGCTTTAGCAAAGAAAGTTAAAGTTGTTGTTGGCTTTACGAACGTATTTCTCTACAAGGGGAATTTCACCAATGTTCTAAGCTAGTTACACGTTAAAACCACAAGTCAATCACACATAGTTCGAGTTGGATTCCAATTCTGTACATTCAGTATCAGTGCATTTATCTACATTCAGTATCAGTCCATTTATCTACATTTAACAAAATCATAACCATTTATTTGATCTAATGGATTCAACTATCCAACGTCAACATATGGATGTTTGAGTAAGACTACCATATCTTTCCCCACCTTTAATGATTACTAGAACATACGCATGCGCGTTACTGCGGGAATCATCTGTTCCAAGTGTAATCGGATGAATGAAACACATTTAAATTGAATAAATTCAACACAATTATGAACAAACAGAGGGATACATGAGTGAATAAGGTCGATAAGATAAGCCGTTTATGCCACCTTGTGCCAAAGAGTTTATGCTAGTATGCCCTCTTATGTTTAAGGAGCAATTGAAAGAAAATAGTTCATGAACGCCGTGCTTCTGCTAGCAAAGTCAGACTCATATCAGGATCACTACAGGTTCTGGGAAAGGATTGCCAAAAGAATGCATGTATAACTTCTCCTACAATTACCTAAATGAATGCATGCATAACTTCTCCTACAGTAAATTTGTTCACCTGAGTCACAATCCCCTCGCAAGGATTGTAAAACTCAAAGCTTACTGTCCAAAACCAAATAATTTGTACCATTTACATGCTTGTGCAACATATGCCTTACACTGGAAAAACATCAAAAATCGAATACAAATTTGTAAATTATGGACGGATTTTGTTTTACATTTTTATAATCAAATCAAGTGGCAGTGTAGCACTTAAAATTACAAACTTGAAGCAGCCAAAGAGAGCAGAAATTAAGATGTAGAGATATCCTCAAACTTGCAATATACTATATGGAAGCTAACCGTAGAGGTTTGTGAAGCAAACTGCGGCATGAGTTGCAGTCAATTGAAGAAAAACGTAGTAGTTTAACTAAAAAATGCATGATGAAATGGATTCACAGTTTTCATGCATGACACAACCCTATATTATTCCATAAGTTAACTTAATATCATTCCACAAAGTGAAATTATAATGCTTACTTGTCGCAGAAAGGGCAATGCCACAATGAAAGCATATGGAAAAACTTAGTAACCCGTAGCATTCATTGCACTTTGTAGCCGATATGTTTTTGTCTTTCTGATGGCATCTGCTAACACAAAAAAGGCCACAAAAGGGATGCCAAGTCTACTTTGATTCTTATATCATGCGATAAATAGAACAGATAGATGATGTTTTCCATATCAATAGCATGCTAAGAAATCTAAAGGACACAACACAATAGCTTACTAATTCAAAAGATTAAATGAACTATAAATGGACCAATGGTTAATCGAACAAATTCAATACAACTGAATCACATTCTAATTTTAAGCTAAGCACTATATTGCCAAGAAAAGTGCCCATATTGCTGTGAATGTAAAAAAAAATGAGTTAGCATCCATTGCTCATTTTGCTAAACGTAATGCCTAGAATCTATTCATTTCAAGTAAGTAAAAATCCAGAATAGGGAGGATGAAGACATCGGACGTTGAAAAGTGATTAAATTGCCATCTTAACAATCGACTTAATCTGTATACACCTACAAGTATCAAATTCGATCTTAGATAAAAATAAAGCTGCTGATGAGATAACTGATTCCTGGTGTGAGTCATCCCTTCTACTTTTTATGGCAATGATTACTTAAAGTTCTCATGCATACCAGCTCTCAATAGGCTGAACAACACATGGAGGTAAGGACCAATCCAGTCATCTTGAGAAAAGGGGATCCCTGAACCCTCAAAACCCACATACATCTTTTGGCAAGATAAGTCATATTGCCAAAGCACAAAAGAAAAAATAATAATAATGTATTGACACATTTAAAAAGAAATTCCGAACCTTTTGTACAATGCAAGAAGGTTTGGGAGTACTGAAAAAAAATGTCTATAAGAAGCATTCAATTTTTTCTTTACTATGCCCAATTATGTGGATGTGCATTGTACTGCTATAATGATGACAATTATTTGTCAAATGCAAGTGGATTTCTACCATTTTATCAGAAAATGTTAATATCAAAGGAAAGTAAGCTTGTATGGAATAACAATCGTTTAAAATTAATGACCATATTAAGAACAGAAAAGTTGCAGCAAATAATTGAATGTAATACAATAGACATAGATGAGAGGATTGAGTAATTCGGAATTCTATCATTCAAGTGAAAAAGAAAACATGCATTATAGTTGAAACAACTCTACCTTTACTTGGAGCCTTAACTTCAAGTAATTTATTATCTCACCAAGCATGGCAGCTTTAACTGTCTGCACAAAACAGAACACATAGAATACAGATGATAAGTTTCCACACAAAGCAACTAAAACGACGTAATACTTAAGATAAATGACTGAAAATGTCAACTTTTCAATTGTTATCAGTATTATATGGACTAAAAGAACAGGAGAAGTAAGACTTCGTGTAGAAGATTGCTTGTATAAACTAAATCCAGTAAATCAGAGAAAAATGTAATACAACAGTACACGACTGGAAAAGAGAGTACAAAATCCAGTATACTGCTTAAGCATGACTCTATGTAAGATTCTTTTCCCTTCCGTTAAAGTTTGAACAGACCAACATATCACATTAAGGAAAACAAATCACCTTCCCAGCCTTGGCAGCAGCTTGTGCAGATTTTCCATACAATTCTTCTCTAACAGCAAGTTGACCCTTCGATTTCTTATCTTTCAAGCCCTGAAAACACAAAATCCCAGATGCAGTGACAAATAAACATGTATAAGTTTCATGAAAACTCAAAGTTTCTAGGCCATACCTCCAAGTTTGCTTCTGCTCCTCTAAGAAACTTCTTCACTCTCTTATCTAACTCATCAGAAATCTTCTACTGCAAATTAAGGTACTGCCCATTTTATTTTCTCATTCCCTTTTTAAGAAAATTATGTGCACATAAGAGCCTAAAGTTTAGCTCTCACCTTGGTGAGTTAAATAGTTCAATGTACAAAAGGTGAGAGCTTAATCCAGAGCTATCATAACTAAAATACCAAAATATCAAAACTCGAAAATCTCCACCAAACAAAACATCTAAAAAACATATTTTCAATGAGATTGAGTAGAATCATGACTGCAAGCAGATCTTGTGGGACTGCCACAAAAAATATAGACCAGTTGATTTCCGTAATAAAATATAATCAGTTGATTTTCAGGCGTACCTGTTCCATTGCAGGCACAGTATAGTGCCACCATCTTGTTTCACACCCATTTAGCTTACATCAGTTTCAAATCCTTCAAATGCAAAATGCCCTGAAACTTGATGAGTAATACAAATCAACGACGACATTCAAATTTTATTTTTCCAAAGAAAAAAAAAGATAAACTGGTCCATATAAATCTTTTAGCTGGAAAATCCACACCCAAAACCAACCCAATTCAATGGTGAACTTGTTATAAATTAACACTACGATTTGAGGATCGATCACGTACCAGCTTAACAGTCACCTCCTCCCCACTGTGTACATTTACACCTAACACCAGACGAGCAATTTCATTACAAAACACATTAAATCAACACAATGAATAATTTTCTAAGGAAAAAAGGATATCAAGCACTGATTACCATACCTAAATAGAGTTCTCTGAAGACCCACTCCCAATCTTCCTCCCCAGCTTAAACTTCCCAGCAATCACATGCTCCATGATGCAACAATGTCCAATACCATTCGACCCACAGACTCAAACTGGCTTCATTTCACAGCAATTGGTGCAAAATTCCTCCTTCCCAATCAAATCCAGCTGCACGGCATGCTCAACCGGCGAAAATATGCATATCCCTTCTTATTCATCCACTCTGAAATCTGCAACCTATAACACATTATTACGAAAGCAGAGGAATTTCCGATTACTTATGATACAAACAAATATCATCACAGAAGCAAAAGTTCCCCCATTTCAACTGTGAAACGAATATCACAAAAGAACATGGAAGGGACCTGAGCTTGTACTTCCATGGGCATCGCCATGACCCTCTAATGAACTCGAATAAGTCACGTCATGCAACATGTATTTACTCCATAGCCCATACAACAAAATTCCACATAGAATTAGTTCCCAAGGGGGCATACACAAATCTACCAATTTTTATTTTTTTATTTTTTTATCAAACTCATATCTGTTGTTTATGCTGGTGTGACTAGGAAACTACTGATATAGGGTGAACATGGTGTAGGTTCAAAACAAACAACCATTGTGTTTGAAAAATGGGTGTAAACTATTAATCTCTGACCTATTATCTTTTTCCATTGCTATATGCAATTAAACATCTGCAAGAACGACTTTCGCTAGTGGAAGCTGTTTTAGAAGAGAATGGAAGTTCTTCCAAAGTCGGATTCTAGTTTTTATTCCTGTAATGATTTCGATCACTAGGCAAAACTAATTTTCTAATACGTGACAGACTTGTTATTTCTCTCTTGAGTCATGTTTTCTAATTATTTTCTTCTAAAGTTTTGACTGATCATCCAAATTGCAACAACATTCAACCTTTGGGACTTATGTAAATTTGGGGCCAAAAAAAAACAGTCAATATACAATGGCTTGTCATTTTTCAACCTATCCAATTCATATAAGCACATATCCAAATTCCAGTTTTAGAAGAGAATGGAAGTTCTTCCAAAGTCGGATTCTAGTTTTTAATCCTGTAATGATTTCGATCACTGGGCAAAACTGATTTTCTAATACGTGACGGACTTGTTATTTCTTTCTTGAGTCATGTTTTCTAATTATTTTCTTTTAAATTTTTTACTGATCATCCATATTGCAACAACATTCAACCTTTGGGACTTATGTAAATTTGGGGCCAAAATAAAACAGTCAATATACAATGGCTTGTTATTTTTCAACCTATCCAATTCATATAAGCACATATCCAAATTCCAGTTCACTAAACCACATATCCAAATCAATTCAAACTAAATACCTAATATTCAATCACATATCCAATTCAAACAACATGGCTAATAGTCAAGAACATGTCCAATCTTTAAGCACATTTACAAAACAGATTTAGAACACTATAAAATCCTCTTAGTAGCCATCTCTCTCTCTCTCTCGCAGACCCTCCCCGAAACCCTAATTGAACGACAGCAAATGATACCTACCCGGTGACCCCCTATCTAGCCCAAAACGGGGAGGACAAAACTGCCCTTCTTAATAGACCATCCCCGCCATTGGATTGTAATCTTAGATGGGCAAAAATGTAATTAAATAATTTGGGCCTCACTTAGGGCCAGGCTTCCCAGCCAAAACCAACACATTTGGGCCTAGCCCAGGGCCGGGCTACTGACCCAAAACCAACAAAAAGATCAATAGCATGGTTGTACTTAATCTGAAATTCAGGATTGAAACACTATTCATTTCTACAGTGCCAATTCCAAACCTTTCTTTAGACAAGTAATTTTATATATACTTCAGTTTTGGTTACTCCCTCATCCTCCTCACGTCTTCTAATTACAAACCTTCTTCCAAGAGTCCTAGTCATGGTCGCCATATCTCCACAGTTCAAACTTGACCCCTCCTCCCTTCTGACTCGCAGTCGGTTCTGTAAGATAAACTTGTTGCAAAAAATTTAGGATTTAATTGCTCTATGTACATTCTTCTCACTAGGACGAAATATATATGTTGGTTTATTTTTAAATTAAATTAATTATAATTGTCATTATTTGGTTGTCAGTAAAAAAGTAAGTATATTTTTCATTATTTGTGGTTAGTGGGAAATTAAGATGGAGTCTTTAGCCTTGCATCTTTTGTACCTCTTGTAACTTTTATTTTTGTTAATTTGTGTTTATCACCTTATTCACCTAAGGGTGATAATAAACATATAATTATTTGCATTTTTCCCATGAGAAGTGTTATTGGCACTCCAAAAATCTCATTTTACACTCCTCACAAGTGTATTTTTCTTTCCAAATATAGAAAGTTTGGAGTGTAGAATGAGATTTTTAGAGTGCCAATAACAATTCTCTTTTCCCATTATCTTTTTATTTATGATCCCACTACCAATTTCCTCACAACTACAATCTTTATTTCTCCATACTTTCTATCTTTTACTTACTGGCCAAAGAATGGTGTTTTTGTGGTGGAGCTTTGGACTATTCTCTTTTTGTGCAGAAAGATTTGAGTCAAACTCAATTTAGTTGGGCTGTTTCTGGAGAAGACAAGTCAAGAGATATACTGCTGCACCGGTTCATGAACTTTTGTCAAACCGCAATGGACTTAAATCTCCTTAAAGAGAGTGAGATACTCGTGCCTTAGCCTAATTGTCTACATGCTTCTTAGAAGGATATTACAATTTTTTTGTGATTTTTCCAACAATTTTGAAAAGATTTAATATCATAGAACCTATACCTGAGAAGCCGTTCGACAATGTTGGGGATCTCAACAAGCCATTCCGTTTCAAGGGAGCTCACTTCAAAATGTGGAAGGGGAAAGTCCCTTTCCATCTCAATCTTCTCAAAGTTACCTACGTTTTGACCGATAAAAATCCAAACAAAGAGAGTACAGAGAACATGAATGAGATGAGCTCTATGACCATGAAGATAATAAGTCCAACAACATGAAAAAAATGAGTACCAGTGTCGGTTTTATCTCTTGAATTGCCTTGCTGATCATTTTTATTATTATGATACCACAGTACCACTTAGTCTTTTGTAAAGAAGATATGGAAAGCTTTGTAGAGTAAATATGACATTGAGAAGGCAGGTGCAAAGAAATATGCAGCAAGCCGTTTTTTTCGTTACCAAATGATGGATGGGAAATCAGTTGCGGAGCAAGTCCAAAATTTCCAAATGATTGTAGCGAAAGTCACATCCAAAGGTGTCAAGATTGGTGACAATCTCATTGTAGCTGGTATCATAGACAAATTACCGCCTTCATGGAGAGAGTTCCAAAAAAAACGTGTCACAAGCAAAGGAGATTTACTTGGAGACCTTGATTACATGCATCCGTGTAGACGAAGAGGCAAGAGGACAAGATGTTCTTATGCAAGAGAATAATGGTAATTCTACCAAGGTAAATCTAATCTCATCAAACAATAACATGCCAAAAATAAGTTTCCTAAAAATGTTCAGTTTCAGCCTAAGAAAAAAACAAATATGAAGAAATTTGGCAAACCTTACCAACAAAATAAAGAAAACCCAAGCTATATGAGTAAGAACCAACAATCTCCTTCATCTTGTTATGTTTGTGGCAAAAGTGCGCATATTGCTCGATTTTGCAGATACCGAACGTGAACCGAATCATCAAGCTCATGTTATCAAGAACCATTTGTTGCAATGATTATTGATGTGAACATGGTTACAAGTGATGAAGGATGGTGGCCAGATTCTGGAGCCAATAGGCATATTTGCTTTAACAAAGGTTGGTTAAGAAAATATACTCCTTATAACGAGCCGAAGACAATTATGCTTGGTGACTCACAAACAACTCAAGTGCTTGGAAGTAGTGAGGTTGATCTCAAATATACCTCTGGAAAGACTTTAATTTTGAAAGATGTACTTCATACTCCTTCTATGAGGAAAAATCTTATGTCGAGTGATCTTAATAAGGCTGGTTTTAAACAGACCATGGAAATTGATCAATATGTAATCACCAAAAAGGGTGTATTTGACGGCAAAGGTTATGCTTGTGATGGCATATTTAAGATGAATGTTGAGAATGGTAATAAAGCTTCTATTCAGTTTATATGCTATCTTCTTTAAATTTTTCATATGCACGTTTTTATCATATAAATAGCAAATATGTAGGAATCATGAGCAGTTGAATTTAATTCAAATAGTTAAAAAAAGCCTTTGAAATATGTGAAAGTTGCAGTAAGGCTAAAATAATTAAAAGCCTCATAAAAATGTTGAAAGAAATTCTGAATTTTTGGAATAATTCATAGTGACATTTGTGAATTTGAAGGAATTTTAACTCGTGGGGGGAATAAATATTTTATCACTTTTATTGATGATTATTCCAAATATACTTATGTTTATTTGATGAAAAATAACAATGATGCTTTTAATAAATTTAAAGAGTTCCTCCTTGAAGTTGAAAATTAACTAGGAAAAAAAATTAAAAAAACTTCGGAGTGATAGAGGGAGAGATTATGAGTCTTTTGAGTTTAATTCCTATGTATAATCTTTAGGAATAATACATGAAATACACTACCATATTCTTCTACATTTATGGCATAGCGGAAAGAAAAAAAATAGAACTTTGATTTATTTGACAAATGTTATGCTAATTGATTCAGGGTGCTCATTCTAATCTTTGGGGTGAAGCTGTTTTAACTGCTTGTTATGTGTTGGATAGGGTGTCACACACGAAACCAAATTTGGGATATTTAAGATTGTGGGGTTATTTAGCCTATGTATGGTTAACTAATCCAAAAATGCCTAAATTGGGTGTCAAAGCTACTACTTGTGCTTTTCTTGGATATGCTCTAAATAGTACAGCTTATAGATTTCTTGATATTGAAAATAATGTTATTATAGAATTAGGTGATGTTATCTTCCATGAAGAAAAATTTCCTTTTAAACCTACAAATAGTGGGGGTCAACAAAATAATTCATATGAACCTTATTCTTCTACTCCTAATTTTCAAGATGCAGAAAATATTGAGATTGAACCAAGAGGTAAAAGAGCTAGAATTTAAAAAGACTTTGGCCTAGATTATTTTCTTTATAATGTTGAGGAAAATTCACTTAGTTCGAAAGATGCTTTATCCTCATCTGATGCTATTTTTTGGAAAGAAGTTGTCAATGATGAAATAGAAACACTAATTTTTAATAATACTTGGAAATTGGTAAATTTACCACCAGGTTGTAAAACTATAAGGTGCAAATGGGTCCTTAGTAGACCTAGCATTCGTGTCGTGTTCCTCATGTTCGCATGGTTTTTGTGTCGTGCATGATAGCTTAACGGCCCGTGTCATATAACACCAGTTAAAATAAACAGGTAATACGACCCGACTCGAAATTGACTCGTTAATATTATCAGGTAATATAACCCGACCCGTTACCGGTTAAGAAAAATATGCTTAAATCAATAAATAATGAAAATGAAAAATGTAATTTGACCCAAAAAAATGTAAAACATAATACTAAGTTAGTATATACATACCACATTGTCACTTAAATATTACTTCAAAACATTTAAAAAAAAAAAAAAAAAAAAAAAAAAAAAAGACATTAGTGCATACTACAAAATACAAATGTTCAAAGATGTGCAAAATGAAGAGAGTTGCATTTCAAGGTGAGGAACCTTGCATGTTTTTTACAATAAAACCCTTCAATTTTCATCAATCACCAAGGGAAATGGTTTTGCAACTTTGGCTTGATATATTATTTTCAAGAGTTATATTGATGTTTTTTTCACTAAGATTTTCCATAATCCATAAACTATAAATCTAAATTTAACCGTTGATTGCCCTTTTTATTTACACTCCATTTTGTCTCACCAAATTTTGTTTTTTTTTTTTCGGATTTTCTTTTTTGAAAACATGATCTCTTAGAGGATGCAAAAAGATGAACGGTTCGGATTATTGATATTATGTTTAGAGTTTTACCATTAGTGAAAATATAGCTCGAAGTTTATAAAGTCTCTAGAAACTATATAACATCAACTCATATTTTAGTTAACCATAAGTATTGGAATGTCATATCAACGATCTAAACCGTTCATTTTTTCTATATCCGCTAAAAGATCACTTTTCAAAAAGGAAAATCTGAAAAATGAAATTGGGTGAGTACAATAAAGTGTAAAAGACAATGGACGGTTATTGACAGCTCATCCCTAATTTTACGATTTTATAAATTTTAAAAGAGTGATTGAACGAAAATGCCCTGGAGGTAAGATTGTTGACTTTTGTTGACCATCTTTTCATGATGAGTACGAGCTATTATTTTACCGTAACCTCGAAGTACTTGACGATACGAACACGTAGACGTAAGTGGAATCGAATTTGGAGCTACGATAAAGATTACAGAACTATGTGTTTTATGAAATTTGAGTGTTTGGGTATTTTATTATTTTAATATTTTCTAAGTGGATATTTTAAGTATTTTATAATTTTTCTGGCTCATGGGGCCCACACCCACACAATATAAGGGAAATTTTATTTGAATCCATATAACCTTCTTTCTACACCCAATTTAAATTTTAAATGTGAAGTGTCTTTTTTATCATATTGTATATTACTGTAAAGTACAAGATAAAATTAACAATAAAACTAAAATGTATCAATAAATCCACTCTCAATAATCAAACCATTACTCTCACGCAATTTTTCTCTTACGTTCTATTCTTGCTAAAATCCTAAGATGCTCTCAGAGAGAGTAAGCTCTTTTTGACAAATAGATATTGATTTTGAAGTTTTTGATCCTCTAACTAAGATATGAATTGATTTATGAATTTTTATTTTATGAACTCAAAGAAAAAATTCGATGTGCCATCGTTGGCGCATCTCAAGATATGATTTTCCTGCAGCTATGTAAGTCTTAAGGAGATGGACTCCCATTCCTCAAACAATTCTTTCAATCCCTCAAATATGGTTTAGCTTACAAAGGGTCTGAAGCATCGCAAGATAGCTTATATTGGTTGTAGCGGGGAAAGACTACGTGAACATTTTCCACACCCTTTGACCTCACCTAGATTAGAAGTGCAGGCATGGATGCTAATAAAAAAATGGTACGGCTCTTGTTGCTTCAGGGTTTCGTCATTTCTTCCGACTTTTTGAGGGCTTGCTCTGCCTTGTCAAAAAGCTCCGCGTTTACATAGATGGTAGCCAGGTTACTATATGTTGACCAACTGCATTTTTCTACATCTTGTGTTTCCATTTCCTCCAAGACTCTTTTTACTCCTTCAAAATCATTTAAGGCCACGTTTAAGGCCACGTAGCTCTGCATCCATACATTATAAGTAAACACGCCAAATATGAAAGAGAATGAGAGAACTTAAACCAATGAGTACACGCCCCCTCCAAATGGTACTGCACTCTCAGTACCAAACAGAGAAGAGATGTTTGGTCTCTTGCACAAATTGACGGCCGGCACCTAGTACAAATGAACAAGAAGTTTCTCAATTCTCACCAGTTCTTTTGATTTCGATTTATATTTCTATTAGATCATGAAGAATTTGAAAGGAAATACGACAGACTTGATGGAAGGAGAGAACGTCAAAGAAGAAAATATATGCTTTGATTTTGATTTTTGTCTTTAGAAAATGGGTGTAAAGATAAATTTACATATTGAATTGGGTTTGTGAGGGTAATTTAGATAGTAAATTTGGGTTTAAAATGATATTGAAAGTTTAGCTAAAAATAATATGGGTGTAGTTAGTAAGCTGAGTGTAGAAAAAAGTTGCATGAGTTTAAATAAAATTTCCCCAACTACAAATACCAAATATTGATTGGTTGGTAAATAACGCGTCTTAATTTAGATTGAAAATCCATTAATTAATATTTTCATGATTGTTTTAAAATATATAGTTTACCTTAAGGACTCGGATTAGGTTTATCATTGGATGAACTGCATTGCTGATATTGACTGTCATATGTGTAACAAAGTAAATTAACTAGAACCGGTGATTTTGTTGTTTAAAATTAATGAGGATGTCTTAGGTTCAAAACACCATGTGTGCTTATTTACATTCCAATTTTTACAAATTTCTTTTCATAATAGTATAAATTTATAAAATTTGGCTAAATGATCAAGAAGTTTAATTAGAAGCGGTGGTTTTTGTTATTTAAAATTAACGAAAGGTCTTAAGTTCGAAATGCTATGTGCATGTTTATTTTTCTTCAATTTTTACAAATTTTTGTTTGGTTTTTAATTTATTTACTAGTTAGTAGCTATGTGAGTTGCTATTTTTAAACATATGTTCCAATTCAAGTCTCATGTAGAATAAATTTTTAGACCAAATTTGCAAATAATATTACTTGTTATCAAAATGTTTAATTTAGTGTTCATTCATTACTTATACATATCCTTAAAGACTCGAAAACATTATAATTTTTTTTAGTCTTATATTGACGAGGTTAGTAAATAAGAAAAAATACATCACAATTTATACAAAAAACACTTTAAAACTCATAATCTATCAACTTGTAAGCCTGAAGTTTTTTGTTTCCTTTTTTCGATACAAAATAAATTAGTTATTCCATGTTTTAAATTATTGAGTTTGAATTTTTTTAAAAATATAATTTTATCAATGTTTTACGTGTGAAAACAAATAATTTTTTTTATATAAAGTGAGGGCATATTTTTTGGCGTCGCCTCAGATCTCAAAAATCTCTAAACCGACCCCGATTATGAGACTTCCTTAAAACTAAAAACTAGAGATCTCGAGTTCGAAACTTACTGCTAGTGTGGAAGCCAAACTTATAGCCAAGAAAATGCTAAAATACTTCTATAAATCTTTCCAATCTTCGAAATGAATAAATAACCATAGCTTGTCACTAATTATTATTTTTTTTTAAAAAGGAAAAAACCTTCAAAGCAACCCAAAATTATTCATTACTCCGGCAAAATTAATCAAATCTCAAAACACCAGTTTTTTCTGTTCCTTCTTCCTGTAGCTTCTGCTCGACATGGGAATCAATGCACAACCGTGCTCGCTTGTTGCTCGACGATTGTAATTGTCGAGTGCCTCAGTGAATCAGATAGCTAGCTCATTGCCCGCCACTTTCTTCATCCTCTGCCCCTCCATCAAGGTTAGTAGATCAGAAGTTGATTTGAACTCTCTAATCGATCCAAGAACTCAAACTCCAGAAAACTCAATTCGATGTACAAATTCCAAATTCGTCAGTTTTCGGGTTTGCCCAATTCGATTCAAAAGAACCCACCTTTACAAACCCCACAATTTCTGGGAGTTTTGGGAAAAGGAATCGGAATCCGATCCCTATACCCCACAGAACGATTCCTGAATCCAAAGGGCAGGACCTTGATTTTGTCAATGTTGTAAGCAGCCATCTGATTCACTCGGATTGGGCTAAGCTTAATCCCTTATCGACCGGTCTAACTGCTTTTAGAGTTAAACATATATTGCTGAAAATTCAGAAGGATTATGTTCTTTCCCTTGAGTTTTTCAATTGGGTTGCTGCTCGAAACCCGAATGCACATACCCTCGAAACACATTCCATGATTCTCCACATTCTCACCAAGTACAGGAAGTTCAAATCCGCGGAGTCTATTTCGAAGAAGATTCTTGTTTCGGGCTCAATTGATTTGCCTTCCAAGTTGTTTGAGGCGATTCTGTATTCGTATCGGTTGTGTGACTCCTCTCCTCGTGTCTTTGATTCACTGTTCAAGACTTTCGCGCATTTGAAGAAGTTTAGGAATGCCACAAACATGTTTTGCCGGATGAAGGAGTACTGGTTTTTTCCCAACGGTTGAGTCTTGCAATGCGTATTTGAGCTCACTGCTAGATTTGCATAGAGCGGACGTTGCTTTGGCGTTCTATAGAGAAATGCAGCGTTGTAGGATTTCGCCCAATGTTTACACTCTTAATATGGTTATGGCTGTTTACTGTAAATCGGGAAAATTAGAGAGCGCTGTTGAGGTGCTCAAGGAGATGGAGAGCATGGGTTGTAGTCCTAGTGTGGTGTCGTATAATACACTGATTGCAGGACACTGTGATAAGGGTCTTATGAGTTCGGCTTTGAAGTTCAAAAACTTGATGGCGAAGAATGGATTGCACCCTACTGTGGTAACTTTTAACACACTTATTGACGGGTTTTGCAAGGCAGGAAAACTACAAGATGCAAATAGAGTTTTTAGCGAGATGAAGGCTGCGAATGTGGCTCCTAATACAGTAACTTACAATAGTTTGATAAATGGGTACAGCCAGGCAGGTAATAGTGAGATGGGCACTAGGCTTTTCGAGGAGATGTCAAAGAACCGAGTAAATGCTGATATACTGACTTATAATGCGCTGATATTGGGACTCTGCAAGGAGGGTAAAACAAAGAAAGCTGCATATCTGGTTAAAGAACTTGATGCAAAGCACTTTGTCCCGAATGCCTCAACCTTTTCTGCCCTTATTGTAGGACAGTGTGTCCGAAAGAATGCTGATCGTGCCTTTCAGTTATGCCAAAGCATGATAAGAAGTGGTCATCATCCTGATGAACAAACTTTGAAGACACTTATATCAAGCTTCTGCGGTAACAGAGATTTTGAGGGAGCAGTCCAAGTCTTGGAAGAAATGTTAGAGAGATCTATTGCCCTGGATTCAGGTATCTTATCTGATTTATGTCTAGGACTTCACCGATGTGGGAAAGAAGAATTGGTAAAGTCAGTATGCGGTAAGTTGGAAGCTAGACGACTCATGCCTCAAGGTTTTGATATGGCGAAGAAATTATCTACTCTGGATTAGAGGGTTAGAACTGAACATTTTTGCTTTTCGATACATGTAGATTTGTATACTGTTTGTACCTTTGAAAGAAAAGGTTCAGCAGTGTTTTCGATTAAACATGTTAATTTTTAAACTACTCTCTGTTCTTCGCTCTTCTTGCTTCCATCAGTCGTAAACTCTTGTCCAAAGTGCGATTGTTGAGCAACCGTACATGACTGTGTCCCAGCAATAGTTCTTCCCCTGGAGTTTTTTTCCAGTCGCCAAATATCATTCGGGTTTTTAAACCGCACTTGAGAATTGAGATACAATACTAACGTTGGAAAGTTACGTGAGTTCCACCACTTCCAATCTCATTCGTTACGTCCCGCTACAAAAGGAAATAAGGAAGGCAATTAAGTTCAGATCATTCCTTCTTGTGGTGTTCCGAAATCATTCATTCTTGTGTTGTTGCCTCGAAAATCTGGGCCAAACTCTTCCGATTCTCGAGTTTCTGCTTCAGGTGGCACAACGATCGTGTAACTGCAAGTCGAACATTTGCATATGCCCAGTATGCTTTATCTATGAAAATATGTGGTATCATCTAATCGAGACCCAGAATGCAAAAGTTCTCAAAGCAACAACTCTTAACTCTTTAACAGCCTAAGGTGCCAAATGTGCGTACAACAAATCAAATGTTTTCATCAGCTCTGTGTAAGTATTGGAATTACAAATTTCATATAGCGAGGACCTGCTCGAACCACCTACTTAGATATATCAGAGATTCTAATTATGTTACGATTCATCTTCACCAGCTTCAGCAGCAGCTATCTGAGAATCCAACGTGTTTATCAGCTGCTCACTAACTGTTTTTGCCACGGATACCATGTCGAGAATGATGCTTGGATCTAGGCCTGCACCACCCCGTTTGGTCAACCCGCAGATGTGCCCTTGCCTATTGACAGAAATTGAAACAGCCGAGCTCATTTGTGATTCCTCTTCTGAAGTGGCATCCACAATGTAGTGCTTACCTACCTGAAAAATATATGCACATGATTCAGTACAGGGCAAAAAAAACATTTGCGATTTGCCAAAGGACAGAAGAGATGGTTAAATTTTGTCACCTTTGTTAATGTAACTATGACAGGAACCTTAGATGTGTCAAATTGCAGAAACTCCTCGTCGCTTACATCAACCTCCGGTTGCTCATCCCCTGATGCACCAGCTGCAACATTTACTCTTGGGATGCCTGTATTGCTCAAAGCAGCCTTTGGGAACATCAGTTTCGTTTTCTTTCGTTTTTTTTTTTATCTTCACTTTATTTGGAAACAGAAACAACAATTAAGTGCACTAATGTAACTCTTAATTCTTTTGCTAGCCACTAAATTTTGATGTGCAAACACTTTAGTGACTCAGTTGTCAAAATATACCTGCTGCCATTACAAGATACGAATTGTTGTAAAGACTGGCTTGCAAGAGCACTAAGCTTGAACTAGGAAATATCGGGATAGAATCATATTTACTGATTTATTTATGCTCAATGATTATGTAAGTAATGTGTAAAGAATTCTCAAGTACCTTTATAGCAGCACCTAGGGCATCTAGAAGATTCCCATCTGAACTGACAACAAGGCCGTCAACGTAAAGATCCCAACAGATCTTTCCTTCCACAACTACCAGAGAGGAGACTTCAATTCCAGCACCTGAGACAAACAAAGGCACCTATATTTTAACTCTGCAGCTGGATTCAAATACGTTCCACTGAGAAACTATTGCCAAAAGAGAACACAGACCAGATCCACTTTTACCACCCAAGAGGCAATGTTGAAGAGCCACCGAGAGTTCTGCTGACAGCTCCTCACCCCCTCTACCCTGCAGACATGTTTAAAAACAACAGCTTGACAATGAGTATAAACGCATTTGGTCCTACATAGGCAAAATAGACGTTCATCCTCTTGAATGGACCAGTAATTCATACACCAAACGGAGTACTTCAGATTGCCTAATGAACAATGAACGTAAACTGAGAGAAAGTGCCTTCGTATTTTATCAGAGCGTGAATTCAAAATAAAAACAAAGTAGCACACAGTCTACAGGCTCATGAAGAAACCAAGATGTCTAGGAAACCTTAATTCACAGAGTAAAACATTAGAAGAAAAAAGATGATCAAAGCGTTAACCTCAAACATTGGTGCTGCGGTTGGACTGCAATCGACATTTATAAAGACCTTTCCTTTGTCAGGTTGCAGTGCAGTAGGCCTTCCAAGTTCAGCCTGCACTCGGTCAAAATTACCAGCAAATATGATATTACAAACAACAGCATGTAAAAGTATGAGCCTAAGATCAACACCATAACAATACCTTCACACTAGCAATGACATCCGTAGCCCCCATCCTGACCCTTGCCGAACCATTTGCCTGCGCAACGGCCACAAAGAACGGCAATTATAACTAAATAAGTAAAATTTCATGTTGCACAAAAAAAATGCACTAGTTTTAGTGAAAAATATGACAGATATTAACCTGGGAAATGACTCCAGTTTTGACATTGATGGGCCGAGGCGTCAATCTTTTTCGACCATCAGAACGAATGTCCTGAGCAATGCCCCCCTGTATAAAATGCTTTTCTCCTATGGATAGTCCCACCATTTCTGATATAAATAACTTCATAAATACCAAGAAAAAAAACTAATTACTGCAGCAATATATCACGTCTATAAATAATTAAAAAAGGGCACCAATCTGAGTGCTCGTATGCCAAAAGAGAAAATCTACAGTTTTCTCAATCAACGTCAACAACTAGGTCTAAGTAAAGGCAGCAACTTCGAATGAAAAATTGTGAACTTTTCAACGAATACTAACAAGCAAAGAGCAATAATTACCGAGCAGAGACAATGCTGACGAAGCCCTAATCAGTGACAGAAGGCGAAGGCGGTGGCGGTGGCGGCGGCGGCGTTGCTGCGGCTGAGAGAAAATGCAGAGGAAAGGCTGTAGGGCTTGGGGTTTAGGGATTCCAAAATCTGAAATTAGGGTATCGGCGAATTTCGCACCTGCAAGCGACTTACTGACCGCTTTTTTTTTTTTTTTTTTTTTTTTTTTTTTCTTTTAGCGGGAACAGCTTCCTCTAAAAACGACGAGGTTTCACTGGTAAATTTCCCCCCGGGAGACGCTCTATATAATCGACACGTGTTCTATACGAAATCCAACGGACTCTATATGCTCTGCGTATATCTTTCTCAACCGTCAGATTAGTATACGATGACATGGCGCGCGCTCATCGCCGGTAAGGCCATGAAACTCGAACCGAACCAAAATTCCCAAATCTTCCATCTGTGAAAAATTAGGGTTTTTCATTTTCTAGGGTTTTGTATTCGGTTCGTCTCCCGGAAAATTTAACTGATCCAATGGGTCGGTCCCGCGCGGTTTCGCAGGCGGCTGTCGACAACCACAATCAGAGGTCAGTGCAATTTTTACCAATTCGCTGCAAATTTTCAAGCTTTATCAGACGTTAAGCAATTTAAATTCCCAATTTCGTCTAACAGAAATTGTTTACCTTTTGTGTAATTTTCAGTAGGGGCAAAAGAAAGAGAACGGCTTCGGGGGCGGAGGCGGCGGAAAACAGCGGCACAGCTCAGAAATCTGTGGCCCAAGAAATCAGCGAACCGAAAGGAGCTTTCTACCATTGCAATTACTGCAACAAGGATATTTCTGGGAAAATTCGGATAAAGTGCGTGGTTTGTCCAGATTTTGACCTTTGCATTGAGTGCTTCTCTGTTGGAGCTGAGCTTACACCTCACAAATGCAACCACCCTTACAGGGTTATGGTCAGTCCCCTTTACATTTTCAAAGTTGATTTCTTTCTGGTACATTAGACTAGTTGAAATTGCATGAAGAAATTTTGAATTTTTAAGCTTTGAGTATGGCTAGAGCCATTTTAGAATTCGGAAATGTAAAAAAGGCAAGACTGGGATGACCTTCGTGTAAAATGCATTAAATGGGAAAAGATTGAATCAGTTTTCTGACCCGAATTGAATCTCTATATACTTATACTGCCTACAAATAAGAATGTTTTCCTTAGAATCATAGAATGCAAGCAACAGCCCCATTTAGATTCACCTCAAATCTGTGTGTAAAATCTATCGAGTAATTGTTTTTATTTGTATATAGAGTATTTTTCGAGCTTGTACTTTCGTTTCATTAATAGGAGATGCTTTCAATATGACATGGAGTATTAATCAAGCATGCATATAATATTTGCTGACTCTTTGGTTTTTAAACAGGACAATTTGGCTTTTCCACTTATCTGTCCAGACTGGAATGTGGATGAAGAGATGCTACTGCTCGAGGTATTGAATATACTGATTTTTCTTTTTTCAATTCTTATGATAAACCTGTATCTTTTATTTTCGGGTGAAACTAATATATTTGTGTCGTGTATCACTTGTTCTTTGATCATGCTGTTTAGGGTATTGAAATGTATGGATTTGGGAATTGGACCGAAGTTTCTGAACATGTTGGAACAAAAACCAGACAACAATGTATTGACCATTATAAAGCTATTTATATGAACTCTCCGTTCTTTCCTCTCCCAGTAAGACCAGTGTTCTAATTAATGCCTGTCCCCACACATGTGATATATACACATATAAATTTATAAAATGCAGAAATTATTACTAATAGTCTCCATGATATCCCTTAGGACATGTCTCATGTTATGGGAAAGAGCAGAGAGGAGCTTCTTGCTTTGGCTAAGGGGTCTGATGAAATCAAGAAAGGTTAGTTTGCAATGATTTCTTATTAGCTGATGCCTGAAAGCAGCTGTGTTTTGGTGTGTGATTCATGATTTAAGATGCTTCAATTGGTTAATATGGAACCAGTTCAGTGGTTTAAGTGATGCATGCTTGCTGAATATGGTGAATGGTGATCTTCTATTATGCAATTTGTATTCAAAGGATCCACGAATTGTTTTCCAATGCTATGTGTTATTTGTTTGTCATAGATGACAATCCTTTGGATTAATTAGAATGTCTGGCTCATCTGTTTCCTTTTTCTCTGCAGAAGTTCCCATGCTTGTGGAGATTACACTGAAAGAAGTGTCTCCCTTTTCCGCAGAAGTCAAGTATGGTATTTTTATTGTATTTAGTTCCTACTTTAGGTTCAAGCTCTTGTTCCATATCTTCTTTTTAATTTGTTTCTTAATTTTCTTGATCAGATGTGAAGAATCAAAAAAGAATCCAGCTTCCCAATCGTCATCCAACTCAACTGCTGGTACACCAGCCAACATATTTGAGGCAGTTTTTAGCAATCTCATTTTTGTCATGTGTGGTTACCACCAGTTAAGCATGCCTGGAAATGTCTGATTTTCTGTTTTGCATCAGATGTCACCAAAGGGTTGGTCCCAGGTGCTGTAAAGAAGGCATCCAACAAAAAGCAGATTAAGGACGAGACTAAAGTCGGTAAAGTGGAAGGTATGGTTTTATGGTTACTTCCTGTATCACAATTATTGTACATGTACTGCATCATACGTATATCTACTTTTACATGTCCTTAGAATTTCACTAACTGACTTTTTTCTTAATTGTAAGAAGCATTAGTTATGTATATCCACGAAACTTTATTGCCCAGAAGTTTTTTCCCCCACAGAATAGTTCTTGTCACTTAAATATTCATGTTATACTTGATACATATTCATATGTTATGAATGTGTCATGTATTTGGTTTAAAGCTCAGTTTTATGTATTATTAACAGAAACTCAGGTTGACCGGAGCGTTGGAGGAAAAAAACTGAGGAGTTTAGGGGAAGAGGGACCTATTACAGAATTCAGTGGCTATAATTTCAAGAGGGAAGAATTTGAAACTGAATATGATAACGATGCTGAGCAGATTTTGGCCGATATGGAATTCAAGGATACTGACACTAATGCTGACCGTGAATTGAAACTACGAGTTCTGCATGTCTACGCAAAAAGGTATTTATATGGCAACTTTGATAGACTAAGGCTGATAGGTCTATTTTCAAGTTCAAAGCAATTTTAAGGAAGGGAACAATCTGAAGTTTTAACAAGATGAAGTGATTATTTTCGTTACGTTCAGAAAATTTATACAGAATTCTATTTCTGTCATAATTATTGCAACACATTATCTCATACAAGTGATACTGTATCTCATCACGTAACAAGTTAGCCTTGCTGTTTGATTTTCCCCTTTTTTCCCCTTGTTATACTCAATTATATGTGGGAATTTGGCAGGCTTGATGAGAGGAAACGTAGGAAGAATTTCATACTTGAAAGAAATCTGCTTTATCCCGACCCTTTTGAGAAGGGCCTCACACCTGAAGAAAGAGAAATATACAAGCGCTTCAAAGTTTTCATGCGGTTCCACTCAAGTGAAGATCACAAGGAATTGCTTAAGAATATCATTGAGGAACAACAGATTGTCAAAAGAATACAGGATCTTCAGGTCTGATGCATACCTCACACTTGACTTGTATTTCTATTACCTTATTTCCCTCTCTATACTGTGGGTTGCTCTCGATGAGTAAATAACGGGAACATGACTACATTATGTTTGTCACGTTCTTTTACATGATTCGAAGTAAAAAGTACCGTGGCTTCCCACGGTTAACTGTGACTAGTTCAAATTACCCCATAATAAACCACTCAAACTCAGTTACCTTTAACTTCCCATCACCACACAAACTCATTTTGTAAGTTCTCTAGGACTGTAATAAAAAACGACCATGTTGCATAGTGTCTTCTCAAATTTTTTTTGCATTAACTATGCAGGAAGCTCGAACTGCTGGCTGTAGGACAGCTTCTGACGCCAGTAGATACCTTGAAGAGAAGAGAAAGAAGGAAGCTGAAGAAAGTGCCCTAAGGATTAAGGAAAGCTCACAGGCTGGTAAAGGCTTGCAGATCAGCCCTCGGGGATCTTTCAAGGGATCCACAGTTCTGCATCCCTTCAGCAAGGACTCATATTTAACTACGCAAGCTATTTCAAGCTCCTTGGATTATTGGGATGTCACTGGGCTAGCCGGGGCTGATTTACTCTCCGAAGCCGTAAGAACGCCAATCTCAACGTGATTTTTTTTTTTTTCCTTTTATGCGCGAAATTATGTTTTATGATAGTCAATGTGGCGTGATACATGCAGGAACAAAGACTTTGCAGTGAGATCAGAATCCTACCTTCACATTATCTCAACATGCTGCAGACCATCTCCATAGAGATTGTAAACGGCAATGTTAAAAATCAAGCGGATGCCCGTAGCCTGTTTAAGGTTGAACCGAGCAAAGTCGATAGGGTTTACGACATGCTTGTGCAAAAGGGAATGGCTTAAGCATAGTTAGGTCTCCAATCCTGGTTCTTGTAATCCTGTACAGTTCTGTTTGTTGATTGAAAGGGAAGATCCCATTTCGTTCACTTATCATCGCAGTGTCCTTTAAAATGCCTCAAAATCCCAGTTTGAGTACATCTCCTGAGAATGTGGCACAACAAAATGATTCCGTGCCTACTGTCGTATACAACTAGGGATTAACCAAATACAGGAACTTATAGTCATAAAGCAGATAAGAATGCCTCCCTCATTTACATATTTATCTTTAATACAAGCGATAATAGCGACGGGTTATCGAACTTTTGCTCTTGTTTATGTTAATGAGAAATGTTAAAAAAGTTGTAAATTTATGCGCAAATGGAAGGAAATTCTAGCAAAGTATCAAATATCAACGTTGTAGGTGAAAATGAAAAACAATCTCAAAAATAAGAACACAAAAGAATTAACGTGGTTCAGCTTAAAGCCTACGTCCACGGACGAAGCATTGAGAGGAATTTCACTAAACAAACGGAGATTACAAAAGAGTGTTTAAACACTCACAACCCAAATCCTATTAAACCAAACGAGTAGATAACCCAAAACAAACGGAGAAGATTCTCTCAAATTGCTCTCTTAACTCACAAACTTACAAATTGACTCTCACCAAATTGCCACATAAATAAGCCACACTAAATAAACTAACCCTTATGTCCTATTTATAGAGCATAGGACTTGGGTTTACATGGGAATCCTAATAGGAAGAAAATCCAAATCCTAATCAAATAGGCAATAAACAAAATCTCTCCACCAAGAAAAGGTAAACCAACTAAGAAGTCAAAATCCAAACTCAAATAGGACACTAAAGCGAAATAGCTAACATGTACCTAATTTCAAGACACAAAACCCAACAAAAAGGCTCAAAAGTGTGACTCTTCATGAATTCTCTGTCACCTTATGTTTTTTTGCACAATGTTTTATAATGTTAACACGAAAATTATCGTTAAACTGTGAGGTGGCAGAGTCTTCTTAGCATTTCTTTTATGTTAATTTGGGTGTAATCAGCACATCAGCTAGGAATACATAATAAATTAGCAAAAGGGAGCTTATTATCATTCTTTTTGACCTCTCGTACATCTTTGTATTTTGGGTCATGAGATTGAATAAATCTGAACACAATGGATAATATCAAACAAGTAATGTGCACTAAGGGTGGGCACGGACCGAGCTGGGCTCAAATTTAGAGAAACTAGAACCTACCCGTTTTAATCTATAACGGGGCGAACCGAGACAAGTGGAGGGATTTTGAGTTTTAGAACCGAGCCTAACTTGGTCCGTTTCAAACAGGCCGGTTCATGGCTCCTATTACATTTATTTTTTAAAGTTTTAACGAAAAGTTCGTAGTACTTTTCACTTTAACGAAAAGTCATATTTTTATAATAAAAAGTCAAATTTGATAATATTCACTTTACCATTAATTTTATTTTTATAGTTAAAAGTCAAAGTTTTCAAACTTTTCGATAGTTATCTTTTATTTTTTCGTCAGCACAAAAATAACAACGTCGTTCAAGTCGTCGAGCAATCGCTTCCTCCGTGACAACCTAGATGCTCAAATCGGATGGCGCCGGAATGCAGCTCAGACCGTTCAAGTCGTCTTCCTTAGTCATCATCTTCATCGATCTAGAACTATAAAACCCACCCAACCAACACAAAATCAGAACCACAAAACCCAACCAACACCTACAAAATCCCAAAACCTGAAAACATAAACTGACTAGGTCAAATCGGGTCCTGTCGTACTCAAATGCCTTGTACCACTGCATCGTCTTCCCTGTCACCGTTTGTGCTGCTCATGCATCTCTGATTCTCTGCAACTTTTCTATGATGGGAGGGATTGCAATCGATGGAGATGAGAGGGACCTCGATCGATCGATGAAGACGACAAACTCAATCGATGAAGATCAAACAGAGACGAGGAAGGAGCAACGATGAACCGACAGACAGAAAATGGACAAAGTCGTGAGGTCCGATATCGAGAGTCGTGAGAGTTAGATTGGAAGAGAGATCGAGAAACTCTTTAGTTCGAATAAAGTCGTGAGGTTTGTGTGTTATGTCTGTGGGAATGAAAGGTGGACGGTGGAGATTAAATGTGCTGATGGATACAATTCAGGTCGGGGGTCCGTGTCATTAAATATTAGACCCTTCCCGCCCTATAATTTATAAATGCAAGCCCAGCGTTGGGTTTGCTTCGGGGGACAATGGAGAAAACAAGGGCCCGAGGGCCGGTGGGAGGGCTCCAGCGTGGGCTAGCCCGACCGAAGGTGGAGGCCCGAGCTTCGGGCCCGTGGTGAATTGCCAGCCCGAGAGCCTGAGGGCTATGTGACGTCAGGCTGACGTCAGCCTGGCGTTAGGGAGTATTAAATTTTTTTTGTGTCAGGCGCGTGCACCCCACTCGCACGTGGGGGCGCGTCGCCGACACAAAAATCAGAAAAAAAAAAAGTTTGTCAGTTACCGTTGGGAAGCCACGTGGCTTCCCACGGTCCGTTAGATCTCAACGGTTACTTAATTTGGACCGTTCGATCTCAACGGTAAAAAAAAAAAAAAAGTCAGATTTAATATCCACCGTTCGATCTGAGATCAACGGTGGATATTAATATTCTTTATAAATAAAAAAATAAAAGAAAAAATAGTTTTAAAATTAAGAAAAGTTACCGTTGTGACACGTGGCACAATCTGGAGTGTTGGAATTCAAATTTTTTTATATCCAACGGCAGAGATTAATTAATTGAATAAAAATTTAAAAAAAAATTGTAAAAAATTCAAAAAAATTCAAAACAAAATCTGAAAAAAATTGTAAAAAAAATTGTTTTTACTTTTCTATAAATACATTCTCATTATCATCTACCTTACACAACAATTTCATATTTTCTCAACTACTTTCAATCACATTCCTTTCTTTGTCTCAAAGTTTGAATTCATTTTTTTTCAACAAAATGACCACTGGTGCAAGTACGAATTGGTCGCTTATTAAAGATGTTGCGTTGTGTACTAGCTGGGTTGAAGTTACTCATAGTTCGCTTACAGGTAACGAGAACGATTAAAAATCTTATCCGATATTACAATTAAAATTATTTTGTATTATTTTATAAATAAAAAAAATACTAATATTTTATTGCCTATTGTCAGGGCTATTGAAGTGTAACGGTGGAGATGCAAATTCTATTGCCAGGGCTATTTATTGTTCATTAAGGGCAGTTACTGTTCATTAGGAGGGCTCCAACACTGAAGTTGCTCTAAGGAGCCGTTCTGTTTTCTGTATAAACTATTGGACCCGCCCCGGATCGCTTGTACTGCGAGTCCAAGATTCATTTGCCCACCCCTATTGTGCACACCACAAAAAGATGTGTTTGTCATTTCCCATCGGCAAAAGATTCATGCAGCAAAAAAATATTCAGTCATTGTACTTGACTTTTGAACTCTTATGAATTTTGAATTTACAGCTTGTACTAGCTTTGACCCATGCATGAGGTAAGAAGAAGAATCCACAATAATAAAGAGAGAGAAACAAAAAGAGAAGCCCTCATATATTCACTATTCACTCTACAAAATATAAGTGGAGTTGGATTATTTCTTTTCTTTTTCTTTTCTCTTTTTTCCTCTTTTATTTAAACGATCATTATTAAACTACGTCAATATATTATATTAAATTTTTATAAAAAGAAAAAAAATAAAATAGAAAATATGAGATAAAGAGATGAAAAGTGAAAAGAAAAAATATAAGTCAATAAAAATCAGAAAGCAACCACTCAGACATATAGGCCATAGCTCCAGAACCTGAACAAAGCTAGACTAAAAAGAAAGAATAAACAACTTGTACAAAAATTGAAATAAAAAGGGGTCATCTTTTGCGTCTGGTGCCAGGTGGAAACCCTCTCTCTCTGTCTCTGTCTCTCTCATAAATCACTCTGCAGCATATCTAAGGATATCACCACCCAAGTCAAAAGTACACTTCTTATGTCAGTTTCCTTGCTCCATTACAGTACATAAACCCACAGGTCACAGAGTCTCCATTTTGCTTTCCTCCCTCCCTCCTCTGCATGCCTTGTTTTGTCACTCTCACCATCTCCCAATACCCTATTTACCCATTTTAATTATTTTGTTTTCATTAATCCCCTTAACAAAGTTTTGTTTCTTTTTTAAAAACGACCATCTATCATAAGGAAGAGGATTTTCTACATTTTTATTCTTATTCCTTTTTCACACATTATTTTTTGTCTTATTATTTCTATAAAAAAATTAATATAAAATGTTAATGTGATTTAACCGTAACCTTTCAAATAGGAGGGGATGGAAGGGTAGAGAGATTAGAAGAGTAGAAAATCTTCCTTCCTATTATAAACTACTTCTGCATATGTGCATGGAAAGATTTCAACTAGCTCATATGTAACGGAATAGGGGACGATAGATTGTTCCGTTCAACCTGATCTAATACACGTCTACTTAATGACACATTTGGTTGGAAAAGAGGCATGATGGACTGTTTATATCAACCTGACTTGTACCATTTCCAACTCTTAGGTTAAAATCTAAGATTTAGATTTTAGTCTTAACCTAATCTTTCTCCAACAGTTGAAGCGTAAAATAAATTTTGAGTTAAAACTTAAAGTTTGGACAAATTTAACCCAGAATTTAGGTCAGTTTTAAAAGGCTGGCACATCGAAATTTAGGTTTTAAACTAATCCAGTCCTTTTCCAATTGTTGGAACTAAAATAAGTTTGGGGAAATTTGATATAAGTCCAATTTTTTGAGCCAATAGTAGGAATAGTCCAGTTTATTAAAATAAGTTCAATTTGTTATATTTAATTATTTAATTATCAATAGTTATCTGTTCAATGATAAAATTTATTATAAAAATCAAATTTCTTCCCAATTATCTCTTTGCTTATTTCTTTTTATTTATCTTTTTGTTATTTCTCGTTCTTCCTCCTACTTTAAACCCCATTTATAGATTTTATTTTTAATTTTTATAATCAACCTATATCACAGGTTAATTATATTTATCTACCTATATGACAGATTCTTTATTTATAATCAACCTGTCACAGATTAATGTG